ATTTCCAGGAGACGCCTTTCTTTTGTTCTGTTATGTTAGGGAATTAATCTGATTTCCCGTAAAAAGCCTGGAGCTTTGACCCCTCAACGACTGGAGCCCCAGGAGGAGAAACTGGAGTCGAAGCTCCAGGGCAGGATCTGTTCCCAGTGGCCTTCAGAGTCTGAGCCCATGGACAAGAAGAAGAATGAAGGGTTGATTGTGCAGGATGAAGCTCCCAGCACAGCTGAGGGAGAAGTCACTGCTGTCCATGCAGAGTTGAGTTTCAGATTTCTCTCATATATGTTTAGGGTATTCAATTTGCCTCCTCAGTCTCCAGCCATTTAGTTCACACTTCTTAAACTTCTGTTTCCTTTTATTGCTGACCCCTGGGCAGACAAAAGCTCTACAGTGGATGTTTATTCTCAGAGAGTCCAAAATAATCTACAATTAACATACTGCTGCAGAACTGATATACCCTTCAAAAACTTCTACTTCCTGTATTTTGTTTATTATTTTAAAATTATGTTTATAACCAAGCACAAGCTCCTGCTCTAAGAGAAAAACTCATTAAGAACCCTAACAGCTCATGCACTGAAGCTTTTTAAGTCTGAGAGGTTGTCTTCTAAAAGCAATCCCCAATCTGGGCATCTCTGCCCCTGAATTCCAGCAGTAATTCCAGCAGAGCAAGAAAACTTCAGCAGCTCAAAGCGTCCCTGTGTGTGCCAGAGCCCCAGGGGGGTCCTGGCAGGGTGTGAGCCCATGTGTCACTGTCACACAGAGAGAGGCTGAGCCTGGGGCTGTGACCTGCAACCAGCCCTCCCTGTGTGCCTGGTGCTCTGCCACCTCACAGAGATCATTTATTGTTCACTCAGCCTTGGGCAGAGAGTCAGGACATGAATATTCCCAGGGGCTGGCAAGAGAATAAATCCACATATTGAAAAATCTGTGGGAATTAGAACCATCTGCAGCCTTACAATGCCTTCAGAACCTGTGGCTCTGTGTTCCCCATCCTGGCAGGAAACAATGCTGAGGCCAGATTAGCACCAAAAGGTTTCATTACCACCAGCGTGGAGCAGACACTTCTGCAGGACCAGCAGCTTTTGGGTACCCTCACCCCCAGCCAACCACAGGGAAAATTCACTCACCAAGTGTAAGACCCCAAGATTTGCCTTGGTGAATGATTTCATGAGGTGACAACAGGAAAAGGATAAGCAAAGCAGGTAAGTCCATCTAGCAGGGAAAAACAGGATCCACATTTTTTCTGTTTTCTCACTAATTTCTTTTTTTCTGGAACAAAACTAAATAGACAAATGTCTGTTTACTGCAGAGTAAAATAACATAATTCATAAAAAACAACTTTCATCAAGAGCCCAGGGTGTTTGTACAATGCCTGACATTCCCAGAGAGAGTCTGTAAATTGATTTTTTTAGAGAAAGAACAGGTAAAGCTTTTGTCTTCCTTCCCAAGGTGTAAGTGCCCTTCACAATGTTTTAGCATAACAGAAGGTTTTGTTTTAATGTAAACTTTGGTCAGGCCTTTTTTTTTCTGTATTTAGTAACCCTGAAATCACTACAACTAACTTAAAACAAACCAAAAGCAGTAGAAAGGGACAATATCCTCTGAACCTCAAATGAGGAACCAATCCTATCAGAGCCAGAGATGCTGGTCCCTGGGGAAGCCACACATTTCCTCAGGGAGAGAGGATAAATTCTCAGCAGATAAGAAGTGTCAATACAAAAGAAATCACAGAAGTTGTCCATTAAGGTTTCTTCTGCCTTGAATCATGCACTGCCCCTGCACTCCTGCTGTGCTGCATTTCCAGTAAATGCACACACTAATTTGAGGTATTAATTGGACTAACACCCAGTGTCTGCTCAGTGGCAGCTATCTGCTACAAACCCACCTGAAGGCTTCTCCCTGAGCTCATCTCCCACCTCCCAGCCTCACCCTGCAATGTTTCTGTGCCACTTCAGTGCTCAGCCTCCAAGGCACAGAGCAGACACAGCCCCAGCCTGGGCTCTCCCTCCTTGGCCAGGAGGGAACAGAGAGAAGCTGTGTTCCCCAAATTGTGCCACAAGTGGATTTCCTTCCTCCAGCTGCTGGTTTGCAGCCTTTCCCCACTCCCCAACAGCCTTGTCTTCCCCTGCTGCACTCACTGAGATGTTTCACAGTCCAGAGAGTTACACCAGGCTCTGAGGAGCCCGAGCTGCAGCTTCCCAGTGTTCATACAATCCAAATTCCATTTTGCCCAGTGGCTTTGTACCTTCCAGCTGTCAGGAAAATGAATCCACACACACCAGAGGTTCATGTCCAAAAAGGAGACAGAGGAGTCCTGGAACTTTATTCAAATAAACAGAGAGGCCATGGGCCATTCCCCTGGGGTCTCTCCAGTTTTTGGAGGATGCAGCCTCCTTTTTATCCCAATTTCCCGGCCATGTCCCTCTCTCTTTCCCCACTGGCTGAGGCACTTGAGAGGCACAGACTTCCCAGAGTGCCTGATACCTGAGATTCCCCTCTAATGTAGAACCCTCCCTCTTCATTTTTAATTCTTATGGAATTTATGGTGCTTCCCCATTGTCTCTTTCATCTTTCAATATCCAGTTTCATTTACCAGCAAACCTACAGTTTGTTTGTAAAGCCAAATATCTTTTTTCCATTCATCAATCAGCAGAATCCTCCCCATTGTTTCTTTTATCTCTCAGTGCTAGTTTTATTTACCAGCAGACCCACAGCTTGTTTGTAAAGACAAATCTGTCATTCCTCTCACACCCCTTCAACCTGTGGCATAAGAATTGTTTTCTCCTGGAGGAGATCCTTGGTTTGAAGATGGAAGCAAGGTTTGTAGGTAATGTTACTACCATGTGTAAACAGCGTACTCAAAGCACATTCCTTCCCTGGAAAGGAATCAGCCATCAGCCTGCTCCATGTAGCAGCCCAGCATCTGCTCCAAAGCCACTCTCAGATGTGTTTGTGGGCTGCTCTTGGAGCCATGATTGCCTTAGGAAGGCTCTTCTTGAAGCTTTCTTCCTGTTCTGCTTGTGGTTGGCGTGAAAAAACAGTAATGCTTAAAAAAAAAAAAGAAAAAAAATGTAATTAAATCGTTCTGGTGAAAATATTCAGGAGAATAAACCTGTCCAGGATAAGAGTTTTACACAAGACATTCTGTTCTTGTTGCAGAGCATGGTGAACAAGGCTTAAAGTGTCATTACAATTAAAAATTGCAAGCAAACGGAAGGGAAATGCAGGCAAACAGACAAGGTTCACTGATTAGGCCACTGCCCAAACAGTGCCAAGGCACAGATCCCAACAGAACAACATGGGACTGAATACTGAAAGAAACTAATAATATCAAGCAAATATTTGTTTTTTTGTTTTTTTCTAATTTTATATATATATATATATATTACATATATATGCATGTATGAGTCAATTATTTGAGCTGAGTCCCTAGCAGCTCAACTCCAGCACAGCTGATCTCCAGAGCAGGCAAATGCTCAGGGCAGGGATTGTTCTCCTTTTGCTTTACTCCTGGAGCAGCAGCTTTCCTGGGCAAGCACAGGAGAGGAAAAACCAGATGAATGCTCAGTTACTGGAGTTTGGCCCGGTGATTGGGATAGGAGCAGCCCTTTGCTGTCCTTGCACTCCTGCCTCTCCCTGCAGAACAAAACTGGGATTTTGCCACTCTCCTGGAGCAGCCTGGGATAAAAAGCTCCTGTGCCAGTCCCAGCAGCAGCCACTTGATGGCCATCCTGCTCTGCAGGAGAGGGACACTGGGGACACAGCACAGCCCCGGGGCTGGGGACCAGCCGGGAGCAGAGGGGTCCTTTGAGCAGCTGCCCCTCACCTGGGTGCAGGAATGAGAGATCTGAGATCACTTAAAATATCACTGCCAAGGGTATGAGCTGAAGTCAGATTGAATATTAGTCATGAAAGCATGACAACTCTGCTACTTCCAGGACAGCTGAGGCACAGCAAGGGAAAACAGCGAGAAGGTACAGAGGAGATGAAGCCTGGAGAGTTGGAGACTCCCCATCCAAGAAAAAGAGGAGAAAAGGATGAAAAAATGGGTTGCAAATTAGCACAAAGAGTGAGAAATCAATAACCAATAAAGGATAGAATACTAATCAATTAGGTGAATGATGTGACTTGGAACCAGCATACATTAATTTGCTAAAAAATGTATAAATAAGTGGAAAAGTTCTGTACTGGCATCAGTGTGGTGGCCAGAATTTGTCAGCCACCCCTGCTGGCCTAAAGCAACACCTTACTCTCTAACACTCAGTGTTCGAGGGAGTCTTTATCCCGAGGATTTTGGAGGTTCTTGGTAACATCAGCACTGGTGAAGAGACCCCAAACCCTGCAGCCTGCACACGTTCTGCCCCTCTAACCAAAACCAGGGCAGGGGCCCACTGGTTCCTCCCCAGGTGCCCTGGCTGCTCACTCCTCACTCCTCAAACCCTCTGCTGCTGTTGCCAGCACCTGGGGATGGCATCACCTCCTCATTGTTTGGGATGAGTGCTGGGGAGCTGGAGCCTTTCCCCACAGTGTGTGGAGGTTTGTTTCGGTGGAAAACAAAGAGATGGCACATTTCAAACAGAGTGCTTCACTCATTTCCAGCTTCAAGTTCCTGGCACTCCCCTGGGAGCTCTGGGCTGAGCATCCCCTCACGATCCCGTACCTTGTGGGGCTGCCAGAGACAATTTAGGGTCCCAAAGCTGCACTCCAGAGCTCAGGGGGGCATTTTGAAATACATGGAATGGAATTTGGAGTCTGTCAAGGACACTTGGGGCTCTGCAGATACAATTCAAGGTCTGTGGGAACATTTGGGGGTACCAGGGATGCAATTTAAAGTCCTCTGCACAAAATCTGGGGCCCTATGCCTGCAATTTGGGGCCAAGTGGGGAATTTTGGGATGGCAGGGATGTGAGGAGGAAGCATCCCACTGCCTGTGGGACAGACTAAGGAGGACACAGTCTGCTCAGCACACTCAGGGCACTACACACTTGAAGGATACCATGGGCTTGGAAGTGTTTTTTCCACCTTTATTAATCCAGAGAAAGCTGCAGCCCTGCTGAGCTCACCGGCACCAGCAGCACAGCATTTGTAGAATCACCGACGATCTTCGCTGCACCCTCGGAGCTCTGAGGATCAAGCGCGTGTGTGCTGCCAGGGAACTGACTGAGATATCCCTGTCTTTCTCCAGGGGCTGAAGGGCTGCGAGCAAAAGAAACAGAGCCAAGATGAAGCCGCGTGTCTGCAGAGCCCCCCCGGGCTCCCCACCGAGCACTCACCACTGAGGATATGAGTCTGAGTCTCCAGGTCCTGGTTCCTCACGTGCCTCGTGGCGATCCCTGGGCACAGAGCTCTGTCACCCCCTGCTCCCAGTACGGTCACCCCGGCCCTCAGGGCTGACCCAGGGGCCACCAGCAGCCTCGGGCACTGGGACTGAGTGAGGTGGCCACCAAGCCCAGCTTGTGGCAGGGGGCAGAGGGAGGCTGAGGCTCTGCACAGGGCGGGTTGGGGTAGGCACAGGGTTGCCAGAGCAGGGCAGGACATGGCCAGGCTGGCCCAAAAGGGACGTGGGACTGTGACTCACTGATGAACCTGACGGCCGCCAGGCGCACGGAGGACTGAGGGTCCTTCAGGTAGGGCAGGCTCTGCTTCATGTACTCTTCAACCCTGCTCCCCCTCCTCATCAACTGCAGGGAGCACCAGAGGGATGTCTCCAGGCTTGCCACGGAGCCCCCCAGCTGGCTGGAGCAGTTCCCCCTGCCAGCACCCCTCATTGCTGAGCCCCGATCCAGCAAGGGGAGAGGGGCCTGGAGAGGAGCCCCCAGGACTCTGTTCTTGAGGACACAAACAAGGTCCTCCAAGTCCTGCCCTGCCCTGCAAGCAGCACTTGGGGCAGCCTCTGATCCCCTGGGCTCTCATGGGGACAGACACAGAGCAGGAACAGCCCTCACCCAGCCTGGGCCCTGTGGCTTGTCCTTACCAAGCATTCTCCAAGCTCCCACATCCGCTCTCTCTGCAGCAGGTGCTTGAGCTGCTTCCATTTGAGAAGCTCTGCAGCAGCAAAAAGGGCTTCCCTGGCAGCCTGCAGAACAGCATTAGCTCAGAGGTGGCACCAGGGCCTGGGGAAAGAGACCTCTTGGCTTTATTCCTGCAGTGATCCCACCCTTAGGAAGCTGTGACTTGTCCTAGCCCAAATGTCTTGGAGTCTCTGGGGGACTGACTGAGGCTTGAAGCCGTGGCCCCCGACACTTGTGGGGAAGCTGAGAAGCCTCTGGGCTTCTGGAGCACACATGTTCAGGCCTCAGGTGCTGCCTCAGTGTCCTGGGCTGCTGTCGAGCCCTGCTGGAGCGGGCAGGACAGGTGCTGAAAACGGCCAAGCCACCTTGTCCACCCCTGCTCGTGCTGGTTCCACAGGGACCCTTCCCCGGGGCTGCGCTGGGGGAGCCCTGCCCGAGGCGAGCAGCCCTTGCCCCAGTGCCTGGGAGGTGTCAGTGCCCCCCACAGCAGTGCTCAGCCTTCAAAGCCACACCTTGGCCACGCTGGGGAGATGGTCGTTCAAGCGGAAGAGGAGCGGGATCAGTGCATTCTGCATCTCCCTCCCCATCTTCTTCTCATCCCTTCTCACCACGGACCTCAGCAGGTCTCTGAGGAGCCAGAGGGAGAGCTCTCGCAGCTGCCCACACTCATGCTAGGAAGGAAGAAAGATGAGCTTTGGAAACAGCGGCTCCCTGCCCGTGGCTGCAGGGAGGGCGATGCTCTGGGGTCAGTTCCAGAGCGGGCACAAGCAGCTTTGGGCTGCAAAGCCCAGAATCCATTCCAGGAGTGCTGAGCCTGCTCCGAGCATGGCTTTCAGGGCAGGGCTTGGGGCTCACCGAGTCAAAGAGGGGTATGATCTTCCCCACCAGTGCCACAGTGATGGAGCTGGCCTTTGACTTTTTCAGCTGAGGCAGGAGATTGTGGAAGACCACAATGACCTTCAGCTTCTCATCTTCACTGCCAGCTTCCAGTATCTTCACCATGCTTGGCAGAAAGACTTCAATTTTTTTTGCCTTTATGAAGAAGAAAGTTTCCATCTTCTGTAAAGACTATGTCTGGAGACCTCCCATGGCAGCCACCCCAGGCCCCACCGCTGCAGGGAGGGTTTTTGGAGCAGTCACCCCATCCTGACATCCTGACTCGCAGCCCAGGCCAAGCCACCACCTTGCACTCTGGCCCAGGCCCTGGCTGCCAGCGTGGCTGCCCCAGTGCCACCCTGCTCACCATCTCAGCTCTCTCTGACAGCCCAGTGAGGATCTCCAGCATCAGGAAGGCCGTCACCACATCGGGATGGCCCTCATCGCTCCAGATGCTGGGCTTGTTACGCAGCTCCTCCAAGTCACTGTGCCCCAAGGATGGCTGGAGGAACAAACACAGCCATGAGGTGCTGGCAGAGGGCTCATGGAAAGGGATCAGGGCGTTTTCTGGTAACTCACAGCTCTGTGAGAGTTCCAGGTGCTTTCTCTGGAAGAGCTGCACCAGTGGTTCCGGAGCAAGGTAGCAAACTCCGTGAGGACCTTGTCCAAAATCTCAGGCATGGAGGACAGAGTGTCGCACAGCTCCTGCACAGCGCTGGAAGCCAGGGGGCTGCCTCAGCCACAGCGCCGTGGCCAGGAGCAGCCCCACCGAGCAGAGCCCGTGCTGGGGGTCCCCAGGGGCCCTGCAGGAGGTGGGACAGAGCTGAGGAGCAGTTCTCTGCAGGGCTGCGAGCACCGAGCTGGCTCTGGACTGCCTTGGGCTTTGGCAGCTGCAGGCCCAGCCAATGCACCGGAGCTGGAAGGGTTTGTGGGATGGAGAGCCTGGCTCCATGGGATGTCCTGCAGCATTCCCTGGATCTGGCAGCCACAGAGTCTCGGGGTCCCTCTCCCCACATGGAGCAAGCCCTTCAGACTGCCAGGGCCAGTACCTGTCTCCTCGCAGAGTCATCTCACACAGGCTGATGACCACTGCCGAGCGGTTCTCGTTGGTCATCAGGAGAAACAGCGACTCCACTTTCCTACAGCCTGACTCTGTGGTGATGCATAGCAGGTTTTCAAGAATGCATCTCACTGTCTTGGGCACCTGGAGAGTTTACAGCTGAGGATGGCACTGCCACTGGAGTGCAGCCGTGTCCTCAGCTGCCCTTCCCATTCCTCCCTGCCACCTTCGGATGGCTTCAGGTGCTCAAGTCACCTGGATTTGTGAGGAAAGGATGGAGGGAGGAACAAGGCCTGACAGGGCTGAACATCTGGGCAATCCAGCCTCAGGGCACTTACATCTGTCAGCCAGAATTTTGGGTCTTCCATGGCCACATCCAGCATGCTGCTGGGCACCTGCTTGTCAAGGATGCTGGCATCTCTCATCGCCTGAATGGCCTCCAGGATGACATCTGTCCTCTCTCTGGAGTGGAGGTATTTTCCAAAGACCTACAGGAGGGAGGGAAGGAGGGAAGGAAGGAAGACATGTGCCACTGAGTGCCCTGATGGTGCTGCCTGGCTGGACAGAGGTTCCTGGCAGTGCTGGCAGCAGACCCCACAGGAAAGCTGGCAGCAGTGCCTGCAGTCCCTGCTGGGAGAGGGTGAGGAGAGAGGGTCCTCCACATCGAGGAGAAGGGTTCATGGCTGGCCCTACAGAGAACTAGGGGTTTGCTGGGTGCCAGGAGGATGGGAGCTCCTGCTGGGGCTGGTGATGCTGCCAGGACACCAGTGTAGCCTATGTCCCTGCTCAGGGATGGCAGGAACCTTCTTGCCAGGGCAGTGAGGCCCCACCAGCCCCACTGATTCTGGTCCCTTTGCTCACACAAGTGCCCTGCTGATGCCACAGACAAGAGTCCCAGCAAGGAGGGGGATCATTACCTGGGTACAGTCTCTGATGCTCAGGTAACACAGAGAGGAAGTGGTCACAGCTTCCCAAGCAAATTGGTCTGGCCCATCCCTTGGCCTTGACTTGTCTAAACAGCAGAGCAAACACAGAAGAGTCAGTAAGACAGAGCTGCTTTGCCAGCAGGGTCATCAAACCACCCTGAGATCTGCTTGCAAGACAGCAGGACAGAATCAGTCAAGATTTCTGGAGGGTGTCAGGAACAGTTTCTTGCTATAGGCAAGAGGCACCAGCCAGGATGGTGGATCTGCTTTTCTCAAACAGGGAAGACTCGGCTTTGGGGCCTGGGAGTCAATTGGACCTTTGGCTGGGGGGCACAAACCAGCAGGGTTCAAGGTCCTGAAAGGAAGTGGGGGAAGGAGAACAGTAACAAATCCTGGACTTGAGGTGAACACTCAGCTTCTGCAGTGAAATGACAGCTGGGATGCTACGGGAAGCAGCCAGGAGGGACAAAGGAAGTCAGGAAGCAGACCTGTCAAGAGAGCTCTGTGTGCACAGGGATGAAGGCCACAGCTGCTCTTGCTTTTTTACTTACAGAGGAATTCAGCAAGGGAAAACAGAGCGTGGAAAGCTGTATAACTTGTTTGTTCCTCGGAATATCGGAAAAGAATGAGACGTCCCACCAGCCTCCCCATGACTGGGACTGAGATGTCTTCAGGGCAGGCAGGTCCAAAACTGTCTCTTCCAAAGCTGAGAGAGGCCTGGTTGAGGGAGGCATGAGAAGAAGGGCTAAGGGAAGGAATCTGGTGCCAAACACCTGTACCCAGGGCAGGATTCCCAGTGGATCTGGGCTTTGCAGGGCTCTATGGCCCAATCTCTTGGAGGAACCAGCTCAGCAGAAGCCCTGGCATGGAGAGGGGCTGGGAGGGGGGCCTGGCCTGGCTGGGGGGTGTCTGGTCCTTACCTTCAGAGTGGAATAGCTAGACAGCAAACTGGCCAGGACACCAATCCTCCCCACAGCCCTCTCCCGCACAACTTCTCTCTCGGATCTGGTGAAGTCCAGCAGCACCTGGGACGAGAGAAGCCACTGGTGAGCACCAGGAGCAAACACAGCTCTGCTCCTGGGCCAGACTTGTACCATCACTCACGGCTTCCTCTGACCTCACACAGAGCCTGCAGTGGGGTGCCTGTCCCTGGGGTCCTCACAGGGCTGAACAAAGGTCCCAGGAAAACCTTGTGGCCAGGCAGGTGCCACCCTCTGCAGCCAGTTGCTTCAGAGGAGCCTGGTGCCAGCCCCTGCTTCCTCTTGGGAGCTGAACACCCTCCCCACACCATGCTCTGCCTGCTCAGCACCAGACTGGGCAGCTCCTCCCCTCCAGGGTGGGGAACAGCCCTGGGACCCCCACTCTGCTTGTGCCGCACCTCAAAGATGTCCTGCAGCTCCTTGCAGACACTGGAGGCAGGAAAGCTGAGCACCACCGTCCTCAGCATTGTGTCCATGGCTTTCAGGGTCTGCAAACACAACAGACAGCAGTGCCTGCCATTCTGCTGTTCTTTCCCCCATACCCTGGAGACTGATCTGAACTCTCAGTGCCTGAGGAGGACACCTGAACTGCCCAGGACAGACACAGGGATGCACCAGCTGCTGGGGACAGAGCAGCCAGGCCCATGGGAAGGGGACAGAGCCATGAGGCTGGGAAAGCAACACCAGGACCACAGCCTGCCTCAGATCTCTGCTCATGGGACAGCACAGGGAGACCAGGGAGCAACCCAGAGGGGCTGGAGGCTCCTGGAGCTCAGGCAGCACTGACCTTGGTGAAGAGGGAAGCGCTCTGGTGTGGCATTTCCCTTTCCGAGGGGAGCAATAAGACACTTGAGAAACATGCAGAGAGGAGGCTTTTGGTTTTGCCCTCCAGCACATTCTCCACCAAGCTGCAAGGACAGAGGAGGGGCAGTTGGACACAGGTGCTGGGAGCAGCCCCCAAGGCCTTGTGCAGGTGGTCTCAGAGCTCTGGGGCAGGGGGCCCACCATAACTCGTCGATGGTGATCATGGCAAGATACCGGATCTGTGAGGATAGATGGTCCCTTGGCTCCTTTTCCAGGAGGTCCTGCAGAACACAACGAGTGCCTCCAGTCCCTGACCCACCCAAGCACTGTCCAGACAGGTGCCAGTGCCAAGGGTGCTTGTGCCCATCCCCACAACACCAGATGGGATGTGCCCGTCCCCTCACCTTGATATTCTCTACCACTTCGCATGCTTGGCAGAATAAATCCAGGCCCTGAGTCAAGCCACGTTTCAAGGCAGTTTTGCACAGGACGTAGGTGCTCTTCAGAAATGTGAACTTGTGGGTGTCCTGGCAGCCAGGGGACAGAGACACAAACAGGGAGTGTGGGAGGATGGACACAGGGTCTGGAGCACCGAGGGTGCAGTGCCCTGTGAGAAAGGCAGCTCTGCCCAGCCAGCACCCCTCCACAGCCTGGCAAAGCCCCTGCCAGCAAATGCCAGCACAGCCACTGCCCCGCTGGCCACAGCTACCTTGTCAAGGCTGCTGACAAAGGCCATGATGAAATCCACGGCTTCCTCTGATTCTTCGTATATCGGCAACCAGCTGGCATCTGCCGGAGGGGAAGAGTAGGGAGGGCTGCAGAGGCTCTGGGCACAGGAGACAGCCCAGGAGACCTGTCCTCCACCCAGCCCCGTGCCCACAGCCCTGGCACAGCCTTTGTCCTGAGCAGCTCATGCCTGGAGGTGACGGGCAGAGGAGCTGCTCTGCTGGAGCCGGGAAGGCCCCAGTGCCCTGGGCTGAGGAACATGCTGGGATGTGGGCAGGAAAGGTCCAGAGTCCCACTGCTTCTCACTGCCCATGCCCTGAGCCCCTCTGCTGTGTTTTTTCTTGGGAGAGGCTGTGCTGGGGCTGGAATGATTCTGTGATTCCAGCTGCCCTGGCATTCCAGGTGACATCCTGCCTGTCCCCCAGGACCGCTGTTGTCATTCTCCAGGAAAACATGATCCTGGCATGGTGCAGGGTGTGCTGGTGGGGCCCAGCCCTGCCCAGCCCCACGGGGCCCCTCGCTCACCCAGCTGCAGTGGCTGCATCGTGGTTGTGTCGTAGACGGAGAAGAGCTGTGAAGAGTTGCTCCCCTGGGAAGAGCTGTCCTCCTCCCAGGCCTCCCTGGGGGTGGCAGGGGGTCTCTTCTCCATTCTGTGGGATAGACAATATGGGGGATTCTGGGGTGGGTGTTGGGGTGGTGTCGTGGGAAGCTTTAGCAAAACACTTCAGCCCCACAGGGCTGCCAGGGATGGTGGGGCAAGACATGGGCTGCACTCGGGGGCTGCTTGTCAGTTCCAGGCTCCTGCCTGTCACCATCCACTGTGGGCAGCAGCCATGCTGACCCCATGTGCTGCACTGGGGTGTCACAAAGGGCCCCTCTGTGACACAGCAGCTGCCTCTAGCAATGGATCCCAGTGTTTGTTGACCTGGGACCTGCCCCTGGCAACGGGTCCCAGTGATCCACCGCCCAGGCAGGGAAGGGCAGGGTGTCCCCCAGGGCACAGGCCTGGCATAGCCCTGGGCACCTGGGCACTCTCAGGGTGTCTCCAGACCCCACTGTACCCTCATGTCCCCTTGGGACATCCCTGGTGCCCTGCAGTGCATCCCAGAGCCCGTGTTCAGACATTCTCTCGTGCCTTCAGGACATCCCCTTCCTTCAGGACCCTGCAGAGCCCAGTCTCTGTAGGAGGGATGGGGGAGGGTGGCATCCACCAGGATAAAGCTCTAAGTGCCATGGTCCCCATCATGCTGGGAGCTGTTGTCCTCTGCTCCAGCCCAGCTGAGCAGCCACAGCTGATGCAGGTGCTGTGGGGACTGGGACAAACTGGGGCCTCTAGGGAACATCAAAAGGTGCACTGTGGTACTGGAGGGGAAACGGGCCCCAGACCCCTCCATCAGCCTCCTTGCACCCTTAGGAGCCTTTCCTTACCCTCACTGTACACAGAAGCCCTTTCCTGGGTCTGGAGAGGTCCCTCAGGCACAGTCCAACCACAGGACTCCTCCATCTGCCCAGTAGGTGTCTTCAGATCACTCCAGATCACAAAATCATAGAATCATTAAGTTTGGAAAAGATCCCAAAGATTATCAAGTCCAACCTTTGACCAATCAGCACCTTGCCGATTAAACCAGAGCACTGAGGGCTGCAGCCAGTCATTTCCTGAATGCCTCCAGGGACTCCTGTCCGAAGCCTGACAAGTGTTTCCATGAAGAAACTCTTCCTGTTGATCACACATGGACACCTCCTGAGGCCTTCAGTGCACCCCTGTCCCCCTGAAGAAATGTTCCTGGCTGGGGGTCATGCAACACTGGACTCTACAAAAACACTTTATTCCCCTCAGCAATCCCCCAGAGTTTTTGGTTATGTCCCAGAGCCTTCTCAGGATCCCTCCTGTCCCCTCCTGAGGCATTCTTGGTGATGGAGGCACTCTGTCTCACTCTGTCTATCTCCAAGCCCCCCTAGGACCCCTGAAGCTGCCCTCTAGCCCCTCAGTGCAGGGGCTGGTGGAGCCTCCAAAGCTGTGGGGGAGCCCAGGCTGGCCATGAAGGCACCTCAGAGCTGCAGCCAGTGCTGGTGTGCTGGGATAGAGACATGGCCTGGCTGGAGGGATCTTGTTCTTACCTCAAGAGTGGAATAGCTGGACAGCAAATGGCTCAGGACACCAATGTGTGGCAGAAGAAATCCAGGCCCTGGGACAAGCCACAGTTCCAGGTGGTTCTGCACAGGGAGGTGACCAGGGGGGTTTTCTGGCTGCTCTGAGCTGGGGGCTCCCAAGGCTGCAGGAGCAGCTAACCCAGTTCATGGGGAGCTGCAGGGTGGGAGGAAAGATTCCCCTTGGGCATCACAGCTGCTCTCAGCCCCCTTGGTCAGGGACAGCTGCCCCTGCAGGGACCTTCTTTCATGCAGAAGTATTTACATATTGAAAAAAAAATTGGAGGAGAAAAGCACCTTTTGCTCTCAGCCCTTCTCAATCCCATTGCCTGCTCCTAGAGAGGTTTGGATATTTTATAGTGATGACCTCAAGTGCATCATCATCTGCTTCTCCATTCCAAGGCCAGATTGGGCTGTGGGGCTGATTTACTCTGGGAGAGGTTGGGCAGCAGAACCTCTGGTACCTCTGCATTAAAATCACAGGCAGTGATTTGGGGGTCAGAGAAGCCACAGCTCACTTCAGGGTCTCAACCTAGACATGGGCGGGGGGTACATACAGGAGAAAATTTTACTGCTACCACTGATGATAGCAGCTTTACTAATCCCATAAAAAACAATTACTGTTTGGAGCTGGAAAATAATGGAGTAGGTAAATAATTTACAGGGAGGGGCAGAGAGCCTGTTTAAAACCCAGTCAACAGTGACTGCTCTGAAGCAGTCCAGAGCTTGCAGCAATCTTCAGTTAGGTGCACATTATTTAATTGGTTTCAAGTGATTTTCTGGACTGCTAATCACCATGATGTAATTAAAAACCTGGGCAGCATGTTGAGTGATATAGCACATTAGAGATGTTAAACTCCTGAGAGTTTCCTGTACTAGGGATGGCTGCTCCCCTTGCCTGGAGTGTGAAACACCCAGAGAGGAGACTGCAGCTGGGTGAAGCAGAGGAATGCAGGGCAAGTGGCCACCAGCAGCTGCTGAGGAGTCAAGGTGAAATATTCATACACATTCTGTATAAAAATATCCACCACTCATGAAAATACAGATTTTGAAAAGCCATGAATTTTGGAAGGGACAGAAGTTCTCCTTCTTACAGGCATAGGCTATCTCACTAAAAAGAAGGGGAAAAAAAAAAGGGAAAATTGAAGTTTTGTTTCACAGTTTGAGTTTTTTAACTACTCATCAAGTAGTTTGTGGTCTCCAGGCTCCTCATGGTGCAATGAATCTTTTTCATGTTTCTCAGGATGAGCTGAGAGCAGCTGAATAGAGCCCAGCCACACTTTCACCCCTGTGTGTACAGGATAGTGAGAGGAGACAAGGGGACCAAAAAACCAAAAGGCCAGTAACTCAGCATGAAGAAGGGATAGAGACTCTGATGGAGGCTGGAGAACACCTCCTCCCTGGAAAGGCACCACCAAAGCAGCTTCATCTGCTTAAAGACTTCCTGCAACTTGATCCTACACTTCCCAGCAGAGCTGAATGGGATTTAATGTGTACTGCTGTGGGCTTTGAAGGCTTCAGTCATTTCCATTTCCCTCACTTCCCCTGTTCCCCTCAACACTTTGGCAGTCACAGGTAGAACACCCTCAGCATTTTGGCAGTCACAGGTAGAACACCCACACCCGAGCAGGGATGTAACATAAAAGGAATGCTTGTTTCCATCGAGCTGTCTGCCTCAGCCAGGGAAGATGCCACTCACTTCTGTGGCAGTGCTGCTGGCAGCTGGGACAGCAGAGCTCCTGGGGAGCATCTCCAGTTTGCAGGAGCTGGGCTCAACTGGGAGGATCCTGGCTGGGGGATTCAGAGAGGTTTCTTGGCCTTAGCAGCCTCCCCCAGCATTTATTGCAGTTCCCTTTCATCAGCACAGTCCAGGACAATGTGTCTGTTGCCAGCTGCAGCTCCTGACCACGTTATGAGAGGAGTGTGTGTTAAACCCTGCAGTGAGGTCCCTGGATACCTCACACACAGACCAAGCAAGCTGCTCGGCTCCTGGAGGAGCAGCACAACCTCAGTGCACTAAAGACATCCCATCAGCATTTGTCAGCTCAGCACAAAGACCCCCAACCTCAAGGAACTCCTCCCTCGAGAGGTGATCTCCCCATGGGCAGCTCAAGCCCCAGCTCCTGCTGGCTGCCATCAGATGAGTGTAAATAACATTTTTGCCCTAGGTCACTACAGAATGTCATGGCAGAATCAGATTTAGAGTTCTCATCTTTTAACTGCACTGAGCCAGGAAGGAGAGGGAAAATCCACTCTGCTGATTCCCAAACACAGCACTTCCAAGTCACAGAGAATTCCCAAAGAACTGGCCAAGGGGGCAGCTCTCATGCCTGCAAACAGCTGCTCTGCTGGGCACAGCACACGAGAAGGGCAGTGAAAGAAGAGTTTGTTCTTTTCTGTGCCAAGGCAGGACAAGGTAAATGCCACCAGGAGGGACCTGCCAAGGACCATGGGGATGACCAGGACAATGCTCCTCTGAGGAAGTGAGCCCAGAAGCTGTGGCTGCCCCATCCCTGGCAGTGCCCAAGGCCAGGTTGGACAGGGCTTGCAGCAACCTGGGCTAGTGGAAGGTGTCCCTGCCCATGGCAATGGGGTGGAACAGGATGGGCTGTAATGTCCCTTCTGTCAGTTAAATGAATCCACACACACCAGAGGTTCATGTCCAAAAAGGAGACAGAGGAGTCCTGGAACTTTATTCAGATAAACAGAGAGGCCATGGGCCATTCCCCTCGGGTCTCTCCCATTTTTGGAGGATGCAGCCTCCTTTTTATCCCAATTTCCCGGCCATGTCCCTCTCTCTTTCCCCACTGGCTGAGGCACTTGAGAGGCACAGACTTCCCAGAGTGCCTGATACCTGAGATTCCCCCCCTCTTAATTTTTAATTCTTATGGAATTTATGGTGCTTCCCCATTGTTTCTTTTATCTTTCAATATCCAATTTCATTTATCATCAAACCTACAGTTTGTTTGTAAAGGCAAACATCTTTTTTCCATTCATCAATCAGTGGAGTCCATCCCATTGTTTCTTTTGTCTCTCAGTGCTAGTTTTATTTACTAGCACACCCACAGCTTGTTTGTAATGACAAATCCCTCATTCCTCTCATTTCCAACCCAAATCTTTCTAATATTAATCATACAATTATCCTGAAATGCAGGGGAACCACCTGCATTTGCAATTTTTTATAGCAGAGCATCATCATGTCTGTACTGACTCATGTAAAGGGAAAAATACAAAAATTATTCAGCACATTAGTCACTAGTGAACAAAATCACTTCCTCACATTATGACTTTGTAAGTATTAATCTGCAAATCTGCAAGAAATGAGGTGATTATTACTCCAAAGGAAAAAATACTGTCCATCAGATCACTTTCAAAAGCATGAAAATAGAAGAATCATGACTTCAGTCCTCAATAAGCAAACAGGATAAAGGTCATGACAATAGCAAACACAAACAATGTAGGCAGAACAATAACTTCACTTCCCAGAACCTGCTCCCATTTTCTGGTAGGTTTTTGTTCAACCATGTCCAATGACAGGGCAGAGACTCTTCCAGGAGACTTCCCCCTGTTTGGTGCTTCCCAACGAGATCATCTCTCCCTGGTCACACATCCTGCCAGAGCCCAAACCTGTCCCTAAGCTTCCATGGCTGTACCCACAGAACGAGCCATGGCCCAGCTCAGGCAGCACACCAGCATGGACACAAATAAAGTGAGGGACCTGAACACAGGTGGCAGCTGTCCCAGAG